ATATTCACCATCCTCAGCACCATCTTCATCAGTCCCACTATCATCATCAACTCCAACAACACAGCCCTCACTATCAGCAACCTCTTTCTCATCTACCTCATCCTCACCATCTACATCAACAACCACACCATCATCATCACCAATGACAACATCTTTATCAACAACCTTGGCACAACCTTTATCATCCTCACCATCTTCACTATCACCAACTGTACAGCCATCTTCATCATCACCAACCACAACACTGTCATCGACAACCACAATGTCATCATCCTCATCACCATTTTCACAACCTTCTTCATCCTTGCTATCATCATCCTCATCATCAATAGTAACCTCACCACCATTCTCCTCAATATCATACACATCACCACTATCTTCATCATCCTCGCCACCACCAAATTCACTCCAACCATTACTATCCTCAGCTCTGCCCTCATTATCAGCAAATTCTAAATCATCTTCCTCATCCTTAGCATCTTCAGCGAATTCACAGCCTTCATCACCACCTCCAACATCTTCAATATTATCATCATCATCATCTTTATTGTCTCCATCATCTTTATCATCAACGTTACCATCATCTTTATCATCACCATCTTCAATATTATCAACAACTCCATCTGCACCATCCACATCAACATCTTTATCAATTCCATCTACATCATCTACGCCATCTTCATCACCAATATTACTTTCATCACCAACATCTTCAAAACTATCATCTACACCATCTTCAGCACCATATTCATCAGTCCCACTATCATCATCATCAACTTCACCAGCACAGCTCTCACTATGAGCAACCTCTACATCATCTTCCACATCCTTACCATCATCAATAAACTCTCAACCTATATCACCATCTGCATCATCTTCATCACCAACATTATCAACATCTTCAGTACAATCATTTACACCATTTTCACCAGTCCCTCTATTGTCAACATCATCATCTTCAACACTATCATCTGCAATATTTTCATCATCTTCACCAACATCTTCATCAGTCCCAATATTGTCATCATCATCTTCAACAATACCATCTACACCACTTTTAACGTCTTCGCAATCTTCATTACCAAGATTACCATCATCAACATCTTCAGTACTATCATCAACACTATTTTCATCATCTTCACCTTCATCCATCCCACTATCATCATCATCAACCCCACCAGCACAGCCCTCACTTTCAGCAACCTCTACATTGTCTTCCTCATCCTTACCATCATCAGCAAACTCACATCCTTCATCATCCTCACCATCTTCATCATCAGCATTAGCATCAACATCAGCAACATCTTCAGTACTATCATCTACACCATCTTCATCAGTCCCACTATCATCATCATCATCATCATCATCAACCCCTCCAGCACAGCCCTCATTATTAACAACCTCTACATTATCTTCCACATCCTTGACAACGTCTTCAGTACTATCAACATCACAATCCTCATCTTCACCATCCTCATCACCACCTTCATCAATCCCACTATTGTCATCATCACCATCATCTTCAACACTATCATCTACACCATCTTCTTCAGCAACATTACCATCATTAACAGCATCTTCAATAATATCATCTACACCATCTTCATCAGTCCCACTATCATCAATCTCACCAGCACAGCCCTCACTATCAGCAACCTCTACATCATCTTCAACATCATCAGCAAACTCACAGCCTTCATCACCAGCAATAGCATCAACATTTTCAGTACTATCATTTACAGCATCTTTATCATCTTCATCATCAGCATCATTTTCATCAGTCCCACTAGTGTCAACATCATCATCATCTTCTTCAACACTATCATCTACACCATCTTCATCATCTTCAGTGACATCTTCCTCAGTCCCACTATCATTATCATCTTCAAAACTAACATCTACACAAACTTCATCTTCACCATCCTCAGCACCATCAGTCTCACTATTGTCATCATCACCGTCTTCTTCAACACTATCATCTACACCATCTTCATCGTCTTCACAATCTTCAACAACATTTCTGTCATCTTTATCATCTACATTATCTTCCTCATCCTTACCATCATCAACAAACATTCAGACTTCATCACCATCCCCACTATCTTCAACACCAACATTACCATCATCATCAACATCTTCAATAACATCAACTACATCATCATCTTCACCACCTTCAGCACCATCTTCATCAGTCCCACTATCACCTTCATCAACCACTCCAGCACAGCCCTCATTATCAACAACCTCTGCATCGTTTTCCTCATCTTTATCAGCTAACTCACATGCTTCATCACCAGAATTAACATCATCATCGACAGCATCTTTAATATTATCAACAAAACAATTCTCATCATCTTCCCCATCCTTATCACCACCTTCAATCCCACAATTATCATTATCTTCAGCACCATCATCTACACCATCTTCATCACCAACATTACCATCATTATCATCAACATCTTTAATGCTATCATCTACACCACCTTCACCATCTTCATCAGTCCCATTATCATCATCATCAACCTCACCTAGGCAGCCCTCACTTTCAACAACCTCTACATCATCTTTCACATCCTTACTATCATCAGCAAACTCAAAGCCTTCATCACCATCCCCACTATCTTCATCACCAACATTAACATCTTCAAAAATATCATCTACACCATCTTCATCGTCTTTGCCATCCTCATTACCATCATCAGTCCCACTACTGACAACTTCGTTTTCAACACAATTTTCTACACTATCTTTATCATCTACACCATTTTCAGTGATATCTTCATCAGTCCCACTATCATCATCATCATCATCTACACCATCTTCACCATCCTCTGCACCATCTTCATCAGTCCCACTATTGTCAACATTATCATTGCCATCATCTTCTTCAACATTATTATTTACACCATCTTCATCATCTTCTCTATCTTCATTATCAACATCTTCAATAATATCATCTACACTATCTTCACCATCTTCATCAATCCCACTATCACCATCAACCTCACCAGCACATCCCTCAATATCAACAACCTCTACATTATCTTCACCACCATCATTAGCATCATCAACATCTTCAATAATATCATTTACATCATCATCTTTACCATCCTCAGCACCATCTTCATCAGTCCCACTATTGTCAACATCATCATCTTCTTCAACACTATCATTAACACCATCTTCACCAACATCACCATCACATTTATCATCAACACCACCATCCTCAGCCTCATCTTCATCAGTACCACTATCATCATCAACCCAACCACAACCGCCCTCATTATCAGCAACCTCTAAATCATCGTCCTCATCATTACCATCATCAGGAAACTCGCAGCCTTCATCACCATCCCCATCACTATCATTATCATCAACCTCACCAGCACAGCCCTCAATATCAACAACCTCTATATTATCCTCCACATCCTTACCATCATCAGCAAACTCGCAGCCTTCATCACCATCCCCACCAACATTAACATCATCAACAACATATTCAATACTAACATTTACACCATCCACACCATCATCTGCACCATCTTCATCAATCCCACCATCATCATCATCTACACCATCTTCACCATCTTTGTCAATACCACTATCATCATCAACCCCACCATCACAGCCCTCATTTTCAGGAACCTCTACATTATCTTTCTCATCCGTACAATCATTAACAAACTCACAGCCTAAATCACCATCCCCACTATCTTCATCACCAACATTAACATCAGCATCAACAACATATTCAACACTATCATCTATACCGTCATCATCACCATCACCATCATCTTCAGCACCACTACCATTGCCATCATCATCAACCCTTCCAGCACAGCCATCACTATCAACAACCTCTGCAGCATTTTCCTCATTCTTATCATCATCAGCTAACTCACAGGCTTCATCGCCAGAATTAAAATCATCACCAACTACATCTTTAATACAATCAACAAAACGATCCTCATCATCTTCACCATCCTCATCAATCCCACTACTGTCATCATCTTTAACACTATCATCTACATCATCTTCATCACCAACATTATCATCATCATCATCATCCTCATCATCAAAAACATCTTCAATACTATCATCCACAACATCATCATCAGTCCCACTATCATCATTATCATCAACCTCACAAGCACAGCCCTCAATATCAACAACCTCTACATTATCTTCCACATCCTTAACATCATCAGCAAACTCACAGCCTTCATCACCATCCCCACCAACATTAACATCATCAAGAACATCTTCAATACTATCATTCACTCCATCTACACCATCATCTGCACCATCTTCATCAGTCTCACCATCATCATCATCTACACCATCTTCACCAGTTCCACTATTGTCATCATCTTCACCCCCTGCATCTTCTTCAACATTATCATCTACACCATCTTCATCATCTTTACAAACTTCATCATTACCATCATCTTCATCATCATCCACATCCTCAATATTATCATCTACACTATCTTCATCATCTTCATCAATCCCACTATCATCGTCAACCTCACCAGCACAGCCCTTACTATCAACAACCTCTACATTATCTTCCACATCATTGCCATCATCAGTAAACTCGCAGCCTTCATCACCATCCCTATCGTCTTCATCATCATCAACATCTTCAATACTATCATTTACACCCACCAACTACATCTTTAATACAATCAACAAAACGATCCTCATCATCTTCACCATCCTCATCAATCCCACTATTGTCATCATCTTTAACACTATCATCTACATCATCTTCATCACCAACATCATCATCATCAGTCCCACTATCATCATCATCATCATCAACCCAACCACAACCGCCCTCATTTTCAGCAACCTCTACATCATCGTCCTCATCATTACCATCATCAGGAAACTCGCAGCCTTCATCACCATCCCCATCACTATCATTATCATCAACCTCACCAGCACAGCCCTCAATATCAACAACCTCTATATTATCCTTCACATCCTTACCATCATCTCCTTCAACATCAGCAACCTCTACATCATTGTCCTCATCATTACCATCATCAGCAATCTCACAGCCTTCATCACCATCCCTACCTTCTTCAGCAACACCGTTATCATCAACATCTTTACTACTATCACCTACACAAAACTCATCATCTTCAACATCCTCAGCAGCAACTTCATCAGTCCCACTACTGTCATCATCATCTTCTGCAACATTATCATCTAGAGCTTCTTCATCACCAACATTACAATCACCTTTATCATCAACACCACCATCTTCAATACTATCAACTTCTCTATCTTCATCATCCTCATCAGTCCCACTATCATCATCAACCCAATCAAAACATCCTTCAACATCAGCAACCTCTACATCATTGTCCTCATCATTACCATCATCAGCAAATTCACAGCGCTCATCGTCATCTCCACCATCTTCACCACCAACATTAACATCATCATTATCAACAATAACATCTTCAATACTATTATTTACAACATCATCTGCACCATCTTCATCAGTCTCACCATCATCATCATCTACACCATCTTCACCAGTTCCACTATTGTCATCATCTTCACCCCCTGCATCTTCTTCAACATTATCATCTACACCATCTTCAATCTACACCGCCGTCACCATCATCTTCAGCACCACTTTCATTGCCATCATCATCAACCCTTCCAGCACAGCCAGCACAGCC